GAAATACTTTTAGTTTTTCCCCAGTCCGTATGATGTTGGGTAGAGTTTGTCATATACAGCCTTTATTAGATTAACATAAGATTTTTCTATATCTAGTTTTTTCAGGGTTTTTGTCATGAAGGATGTTGTGTTGAACTTCATCAAAGTATTTTTCTGCTTCTATTGAGATAATTACGTGATTTTTACCCTTGATTCTATATATATGCTCTATTTTGTTTATTGATTTGAATATATGGAACCATCCTTCTATTCCTGGAATGAAACCAACTTGACCATGGTGTATTATCTCTTAAACATGCTATCTAAGTTGATTTGCAAATATTTATTGGAGATGTGTGTGTGTGTGTGTGTGTGTGTGTGTATGTGTTGCTGGGGATTGAACCCAGGGCCTTGTGCACATAAAGCAAATGCTCTACCAACTGAGCTATATTCCCAGCCCTTTATTGAGGATTTTTGCATGTATGTCATCAAGGATTTCGGTCTATACTTTTCTTTTTACTGTTATTGTCTGTGTCCTTAACTGGTTTTGGTATCAGGGTAATGCCAGCTTGGTAGAATGAGTTTCCAAAGGGTTCTTTCCCTTTTTGTTTCATGAAATAGTTTAAGGAGCATTGGTATTAGTTCTTTTAAAAGCTGATAAACTTCAGTGGTAGAGGTGGTCTAGTATGAGTAATTTTTTTTCTTTCTTATCCTTATTGATGCAGTGGTTATACAAATCTACACATGTAATAAAATGTTGTAGAGATACACACACATTATATCACTGTTGTTTTCTTGGTTTTAATGTTACATAAAATGGAATCACTGGAGGAAATGGGTTAAGGATTCTCCCAATCTCGTTGCTATTTTTGCAACATCTTATGGATCTATAATTATTTCACAACAAAAGAATTTTTCTTTTTTTAAAAAAGTTGTGGGTACTGCTGGGCATGGTGGTGCATGCCTATAATCCCAGTGGCTCAGGAAGCTGAGACAGGAGGATTGTGAGTTCAAAGCCAGCCTCAGCAATAGCGAGATGCTAAGCAACTCAGTAAGACCCTGTCTCTAAATAAAATATAAAATAGGGCTGGGGATGTGGCTCAGTGGTTGAGTACCCCTGAGTTCAATCCCTGGTACCCCCATACTAAAAAGAAAGCTACGGGTACTTTTATTGGGTTGTATTAAATGTATTAAGTAACTCAGAATAACATGTATGCTTCATTGAGACATACTATCTAAAAATAAGAAATATCTTTAAATGTACTTCCCTACTTTTGTGTCTGAGTTTTTCTCCTAAGGTCTTCTAATATTTCCTAAGTTGTTATTTCTAAGTATTTAACTTTTTTTTCCTATTGTTAATGCTTTGGGGCTCATTAAATTTCTGAGGCTAGCTTTGAACTTGTGATCCTCCTGCCTCAGCCTCCTGAGTTGCTGGGATTACAGGCATGGACCTCTACATCCAACTTCTACTATTCTCTTCTACTAACTGGTTATTGTCTTTACAAAATCACAAAATTTTGTCTGAGTCTTATCATTGATTCCATATAATTTTCCAGATAGTGTGTCACATCACCTACAAAGAGAGAAGACGGAGATTTTCATCTTCATTTTTAATTATTCTTCTTCTGCTGGCTTTTCCTTATTTAATTGCACTACCTAATACTATAAGTACAATTTAAATGATAGTTGAGATTCAAGACCATCCATAGTTCCTGATCTTACTGCAATGTCCCTAATGTTTTCCTGACTGGCAAAATGACTTTTAGATGGAATTTCTAATATTGAACCATGGTTGAATTCCTGTAATAAATCTCTCTTGATCAGACTGTCATTTTTCAATGTGGTATGGATTCTACTAACTAATATTTTACTAATTATTTTTGCACTGACATTTATAAGTAAGACTATTTTATGTATTTTTATTCCCCCTCTCCACTGAAAGATAATGGAACCTGCTTAGAGAGACTATGTTCTGACCATAAGCCTAAAAAGCAGTCTTACAGTTTAGACTTTAGTTCCTAATTTCCAAGCATCATGTATACAAGTTTCTATAAGGGATATGTACTGCATATTCATGAAGAAAATGGATAAGTGAGGTCTCACCTTTACCCTTGAAAAGTCTGTTGCATAAGAAAAGAAGAATAGTTGAAACACTACAAAATTTAATTAGTTCATATTAATATCCTCACTCACCCTCTCACTCTCATCATTCTTAAAATAACAAACAAAAATTTGCCAAAAGAGCTTTCAAAGCTAGCTATGACACTATCCCCCCACCACCACCAATGTGGAGAGTTTGGGCTCACAAAATGGAAAAGGAGAACATTTCAATCCCTTTGGTAGATGTGTACTATAGTAGGAAAGATAATTCCACTGGCATCAATTCAGATTTGCTGATAGAACCAGCAAATTTAGAGAAAATAAACATATTGTCTTTCCCCTTAGTAGATTAACATTGGAACCTAAGCTGATTTCTGTCAAAAACAAAAACAAATCTGGAGGTTTGTCCCTATTGTTGAGATTTAGGAATGCAAATACTAGAGAGATTAAAAATATATGAATGCCCATACTCCCAAACTAGAGATAAGCAAGAAATATATCTGATAAATTAAGAAGTGAAAGAAGATTTCACTGGAGTATTGTGTTAACTATGAGTTCTACTGATTCCAGGAATAAAATATAAAAATGTTTTTTAAAATCTTGGTAAATATGACTTTAGGGCATCCCTGAGAGAGCTAGCACTGGGTTTTAAGAGTCTGAATTATCTAATTGGTTAGCTCAGTGAGCTAAACAAGTAGCCTACCAAGGGTGTTGCACAATTCTTTATCATTTATCTAGTATCTTCCAACCCTGCTTTGCTGTTTAAGAAGCCTCAAGCCAATCCCATACTAGGGAAAGACTGATACAGCTGCCAATTTGGGGAATGGCAGAGCGTCACCCACCTCCTTGCCCACTTTCTTACTAGGCACCCTTATGTCCCATTCTTAAACTCAGTGCTTTGATATGTCTATCTTCTAAACAGGGCCTAAAAGCTAAGCAGTGCTATAAGCACTTAAAAAGTGTTTGGTAGGTTTTAAGGCAGGAATATATACATAATATCTAACCACCCCTTGGAACCCTGCAAGAATCTCAAAATGATTGAGGGTTGAGTAGGCCTAGAGGCTGGACAGGGATTCAACAAAAGGAGGAAAATGGAAGAAGAGATACGGTGGCAAGGGACATACATCTAAATCCCTTACATATAATCCCCCAAACTTTCTTGCAGCCCCACCCAATTACACATACCTTTAGCATCAATTTTGTGACTTTATCATTCATTTTTATTTTAACATAATTCACATAAATCTATAAGAAAGGAATATAAGTGATTCACCCTGCATTACACCCTGGCCTAGGGGGTCATACTCACACATTCAGAAATTCTTTGAGACTTATCCAAATCCATGAATAGGACTCTTACTTCAAGAGAAAATATGCCCCTTTCTGAGATGGGGCTGCAGCTCCTGACCCAAATTCTCTACCAGACACCTATCAGACACCAGAGGAACTTGCTGGCCTGGGTGGGGGTAGGGAGGTGTCCTCTGACTCCTTATGTCATCTGGATCTTTTCTGACCTCCTTATCCACAGAGGCACTCCTTCAACACTCTCTCATCACTGTTTTCACTTAATATCATGTAATACCATCTGATATAATCTCATTAATTTATAGGTATTTAGGAAGACAGGCATGTCTGTCTTATCACTAACTCTCTAGCTCTTGGGACAGGGTCTAAAACAGAAGATGTACAATAAGCCCCTTTATCCATAGTTTTGCTTTCTGTAGTTTAAGTTTCCCATGGAAAAGGGTAAGTACAATTACACTAAGATATTTTGAAAGAGAGATCACATTCACATAACTCTGTGTATTTTGCTGCAGCATGAACCCAGAGTTCCACACATGCTAAGTGCACATTCCATCTCTTATATCTCCAGCCCCTCATATAATTTTGATTACAGTATTTTGTTGCATTAGTAGTTAGTATTAATCTTTTATTGTGAAATTGTTCTGTTGCATTAGTAGTTAGTATTAATCTTTTACTGTGACTAATTTATAAATTAAAACCTTATTATAGGTATGTATGCACAGGAAAAAGCATACTAACTATTTAGTTTGGTACTCTCCATAGTTTCAGGTATCTAGTAGGTATCTTGGAATGGGCCCCAAGATAAGATAGAAGATTGTACTCAAATATTTAATGAATGAATGAATGTGTGATAAGTCCAGATGATGCCAAGGCCATGCTACAGATCCATTAATGTGAATTTCTGTTCACTCTCTCCCTGGAATCTTTCAGGAGAGATCTTTCCTTTCTTCAGTCTTTGTCCAGCAGGATTCCAAGGGGTCCCTTGTGCACCTTTGTCTTAGCTGTCCTAAGAGCTAGAGAGTTAGTAATAAACAGACCCATATTTCCTGCCTTCATAAGTACCTATAAATGAATGAGATCAGGTCAGACAGTGTTAAGTGGGGTGGACCCAGCCTAATCTAGAATTAAAATAACTGATTAGGCCTCTTCACATGTATAACTTGGCCTCACCTTCACCCAGAAACAATAACCTTCATTTTCTTTAGTGACAAATCTACTCTTGGCTCAAACAAGGGTCTGAAATAATTCAGCATCTATTTTTGGCCAGTAACATCACCCATGGGTACTAGAGTCAGGTGCCCTCCTCCTGTGTAAGACAGGCTGGGGTTGGGAGAATGGTCTGTTACTCTTGACTAGTTAAATGTGTATAGTGGAGCAGCATAAATAAAAAGACACAGCCAAGAGGAAGATGTATATTTAAAATTCCTCCCCTTCATTTTCTTCTTCAAATGAATCGGTCCCCACTTCTTCATAATCCTTCTCCAGGGCAGCCAGATCCTCCCTGGCCTCAGAAAATTCTCCTTCTTCCATTCCTTCTCCAACATACCAATGCACAAAGGCCCGTTTAGCGTACATTAGGTCAAACTTATGGTCAAGGCGGGCCCAGGCCTCCGCAATTGCTGTGGTGTTGCTCAGCATGCAGACAGCCCGCTGGACTTTGGCCAGATCCCCTCCTGGCACCACGGTGGGTGGCTGGTAATTGATGCCCACCTGGGGAACAAATGAGGAAGAGCAACAGCAGAATATGCAAGTCAGCCAAAAGATAACTCATAGGGCATGTCTTGTAACAAGGTATGTTAGTGAGTCAGGGTCCTGTGTGTGGAGAGCAGACTGCAGGGTGGAATGTGAGAAGAAGGAACCCAGAAGTTGGGAGAGTGAGCAGGTAGAAAGAAGTGGGCACTAGAGAGAAAAGTAAATGGTATTGGTACAAGCAAATTCCAAAGCAAGGGCTGGAGGATTTAAAGTCTGGAAAAGAAAAAGAGAGGGCTGGTACCAGGAAGAAATGTTAGTGGAAAATAGCAAAAAAGACAAAGGAAAGCAATGAATAAAGTTATTATTTCATGGGAGGTAGAGTATATGATTTGCCTCTAAAAGGGAAGGAAATACCTTCAATTTCAATCACTGGAATTGAAATTGCTGTGAAGTTATTCTTTTTTATTTTTATATTTATATATTTAGTTAGTTGTAGATGGACACAATACCTTTATTTTATTTATTTATTTTTATGTGGTGTTGAGGATTGAACCCAGTGCCTCAAACATGCCAGGCAAGTGCTCTACCACTGAGCCACAACCCTAGCCCATGAAGGTTATTCTTCCCAGATGATGTCTGAAGTTCTTCTTAGTTGTGTGCAAATAAATTTGGGTAAGTTTCTCTGCCAAGGGTGAAGAGATGTGTAAGAAGTCATAGGGATATTCCAGAACAATAAATTTAAAAATCCAAAGGTCCTTGGGGATTACATTAATGTAAACCAGGCCTTGTTATGTCTGGAAAACAGGAATTCTCAGAATAAAAGTAAGACCTCCAAAGATAATTAAAGGTCTTGCCTGAAGCTAACTTCCCAAGTTCTGGTGGCATGTCAGGGTCCTCCCAGCTAACCCCAGCCCGTCTTGGGGAAGGAAGATTAAAAATGTAGCCAGGAGTAGAACAATGAGAAGGAATGCTACACTCCCTTGCTCTAAAAAAGAACAGTTACATCTTGGTTGTCAGGAATGGAAAATGTCAGGGCTTTATGACATGAGTAACTCATGTAATAAACAAAATATGTCCCACAATTTCTCCAAATTAATTAAGTCTTACAGAATAGGTATTTAATTTCTCTAAATAAACTGGGGGAACACATTTTTTGTTAGAAGAGAAAATTATACCTCTCTAATAACAAGAATAACTTAGTCAATTCTAAAATTAAAATACCTGGAAATGGAAAATGTCTATTAAAACTAATTTAACATAAATTGAACTGAATCATGATCTCCAAAAGCATTGTGATTCAGGTCCATTCCAAAATCATTACTTGCTCCTCAGCTTTAAAAAAAAAATCAAAGATAGTAAACCAATTTAAAATATTCTCAAATTCATGTTTTCTAAAAATTTTTTTTATAAGGGATTGAACCCAGGGGCACTTCACCACTGAACTACGTCCCCAATCCCTTTTAAAATTTTATTTTGAGACAAGTCTCATTAAATTGTCCATGCTGGCCTCAAATGTATGATCTTCTTGCTTCACCACCCAAATCATTGGGATTACAGACATGGACCACCATGCCTGGCTCTAAAATGACAAAATTTCAACAGCATTTGTGTCTCAGCCAAAGCTGAATGAAATTAATTTTACATGTGGTTTCAATTCCTCTCCCCATATCAACACATAAAACCTGAGGCTCCCAAGATTTCATTCTACCATTTTTTGTCTTCTGTTTCTGCTTTTCCAGTTATCTAGCCCCTTTGTAATTTATCAGCTCTCACCTTGAAGCCTGTGGGACACCAGTCGACAAACTGGATAGTCCTCTTGGTCTTGATGGCGGCAATAGCAACATTCACATCCTTGGGCACCACATCTCCCCGGTACAGCATGCAGCAGGCCATGTACTTTCCATGCCTTGGGTCACACTTCACCATCTGGCTGTTGGGCTCAAAGCAGGAGCTGGTTATCTCAGCAACAGAGAGCTGTTCATGGTAGGCTTTCTCAGCAGAGATGATGGGAGCATAGGTGACTAGGGGGAAGTGAATGCGGGGATAGGGCACCAGGTTGGTCTGGAACTCAGTGAGGTCCACATTGAGGGCCCCATCAAAGCGGAGAGAGGCTGTGATTGAGGACACAATCTGGCTGATGAGGCGGTTGAGGTTGGTATAGGTGGGGCGCTCAATGTCTAGGTTCCTGCGGCAGATGTCATAGATGGCTTCATTATCTACCATGAAAGCACAATCTGAGTGTTCCAGTGTGGTGTGGGTTGTCAGGATGGAGTTGTAGGGCTCAACAACTGCAGTGGAGACCTGGGGTGCTGGGTAGATAGCAAACTCTAGCTTGGACTTCTTGCCATAATCAAGGGAGAGGCGTTCCATCAGCAGAGAAGTGAAGCCAGAGCCAGTGCCTCCACCAAAACTGTGGAAGATCAGGAAGCCCTGCAAGCCAGAGCAAGCATCTGTCTGGGGAAAGCAGGAAATTAGAAGAAATCATGAAGACAAGTTCTGAGAATTCTCCCAGGTAACAAATCCTTCCCTCTGCCCCATCCCATCCAACATTTTTATATAAGTGAAATCATGAAAACCTTAAAGAAATAAGGAAACACAAAGGCAGTTGTTTTGATCTTGGGAGGAGTAGCTGAATTATGGGACAGCAAGCTACATATGCCTTTAGGAACATGAAAGTTTCATCCCAGCAGCTTAGTTAAAACAGGAATGAAAATTTCAGAGCCACAATGATCAGTGACTTTGCCTTTTGAGAGCCCCAAATTGCCCACCACCCCTGCCCTATGATTCTGTAGGAACTGTTTACCTATACCTCTCAACCCAACCTTGAAAGGGAGGTCAGAGTACCAACTTAAGAAAAGGAATTAGGGAACCTGAGGTTTCCTTTTTTATTTTATTTTATTCTATATTGAAAATTTATAGCTGTGCATATTTATGGGGTACAAAGTGATATTACAGTTTTTACATACACTGTGGAATGACCAAGTCAAACCAACCAACCCATCCATGTGCTTCCCAGTTGTAAAAACTTGAACAAGTTATTGAACCTCTCCAAACTTTTGTTTGCTCTTGATTAAAGTGGAGACAAGAAAAATATCCTCATCTTGAGACAATTAGAGAAGGGAAAAGGGGAGAGGGAAGGAGAGAGAAAAGGGAGGGTAAGAGTAGAAGGGAGGGTAGATATGATCAAAGCATGATAGAGGTAAGTATGGAAATACATAGTGAAACCTATTATCTTCTACAATTAATGTGTTAATAATTATATTTTTTTAAAAAGACTATGATTTCCTGTAAAAAAAAAATCCTTATCTTACAAGGTTATTGTGATAATTAAATGAGATAGCATAATGTTTTGAGTAAAAATCTGATGCTTATTAAGCATTCAATGTTAGCCTATCAGAACAAAGAGAATTCAGAGTCACAGAATTTTTCCATTGAATATGATGTATTATTTAATCCAGTGCTTCAAAACTTAGTAACACTACAGATGGCTTTGAGACTGATGACCTCTATTAGAACCCTCTAAACAAAAAAAGTAAACATATACAAAAATGTAACATCCTAAGCACCCAGGTTAAAAAAAGAAAAAAAAAACTTCACTACATCCAACATTTTCCATCATATAAATTAGGAAATAGGAGCTTAAACAAAGTGACTTTGCCCACAACTCAGAGCTTTGTAGTCAAATCAACCTGGTTCAAATCCTAACTCTGCCAACTTTCTAGCTGTGTAAACCAAGCTAAATTATTTAACCACCCTGGCCCTCAATTTCTTTACCTGTAAAGTACAGGGAAGAGACCTCCTTTGTATGATTATTAAGAAAAAAATGAAGGAATGTTCTTGATATGTATAATATTTGCAAGTCCTCAAATGTGTAACAATTTCTTCCTCTCCTCTTCTAACTTAATGATTTGTAAACCATTATTCCAATAAGCAAGGCCTAAGCCTTCCTTATAGTTGGAATCTTCCCCAGATACCACCATACAGTATTGATAGGTACCTTCAGGCATCAGCCTGTAGGATAGTCCATGATATCTAGGTAGGGGAAAGGCATAATCCTTGGGAATGCCCTTTACAAAATATAAAACCAGGGTATAGCTCCATGGTAGAGTGTGTGCTTAGCATCCATGAGGCCCTGAATTTAGTCACCAGCACTGGAAAAAATTCCCAAACCTTAGGTGCTCTATCCTGTAGCCAGAAGTCATGTATAGCTCCATCTACCCAGCCTTATCCAAGAGATATAGATCCAAGCCTGTTCACTCTAGCCTAACTCACCAATCTTCTGTCCCAGATGCTTACCAGCTTCCGTATGCGGTCCAATACTAAATCGATGCTCTCCTTGCCCACTGTGTAGTGACCCCGGGCATAGTTATTAGCTGCATCCTCCTTTCCTGTGATCAGCTGCTCTGGGTGGAAGAGCTGGCGGTAGGTTCCTGCCCGAACCTCATCTACCAAGAGAGGGGGACCATTAGGTCTTACCACCTGGTTTCCAGAGGAGAAGCCTCCCTCCCCATCAGACTATCATATGACACCCTTCTGGCTTTGGTGTTGGAGATCAAGCCCAGTGCCTCATGCGTTCTGAGCACACACTCTGCCACTGAGCCACACACCCAGTCCAAGACATATTTTTTAATGCTTTTAAGCAAAATTGTACTCCAGGTCCTGGAAGAGCAGGAGCCTTTGAGAGACCTTCAGGGGGCTCGGCTTACCTCCAAGGGTTCACACAGGGTAGGTGCAAGGCAGATGAAGATTGATCCGCCTCACCTCATCATCTCTTTGGGATTCCTCTACTCCCCCCTTCAGAGAAATCATTCAAGTGTGCAGTCACCTGGGAAGGTGACCCCCATTATTTTGCATTTGTACAAAACATCCAGAGGGTAGAGTACCTGTCATTCGTTGCCTCTAGAAACCACTGTTCAGGTGTTATAAGCATTTGTCCAGATATCTCTGTGCAACCTGTCTACCCCCTGCTTGATGAGCCAGCCTTAAAGCTTAGGAAATTCTGCTGTGTAACTAACTGAATGAGATTCATTCTAAAACAACTGCAACACCTGGCTGTGAATATGCTTGCTGTTTTATCATTTTGTATGTAAGGTACTTCAAGGTTAGACTAGACCTGTGAGAATAGACTGCAATTATTATAAAATCAGAAACCTACACTGTGGGAAATTGACTAATTAGGGGCTTATTATAATTTCCAAAAATTATTTAGGTTTTTTAAATTATTAGCATTTAGTGACAGTCTTGTTCATTTCAGACTGTCTCAGCAGGCTTAAGGGGCACTTTACATTGTACAGATTAACAGGGATCCTCAATCCCTATTGCAAGATTCCCTAAGGAGCTGACAGAAGTCACAAGGGCTGGTGGATTCTAGTTGAGCCACCCCCACTTTTAAGCTTCCTTATCGTTCATTAAGCCAAAGCCTCTGAGGTTTTGTATTGTTTTATGTGGAGGGAATCTTAACCCATACTCACCTACTACAGTAGGTTCCAGGTCCACCATGACAGCCCGGGGCACGTGTTTCCCATTGCCAGTCTCACTGAAAAATGTGGTGAAGGAGTCATCGTCGTTGATCTTGCTGGCCTGAGCACCAAAGGTGCCATCTGCCTGGATGCCATGCTCCAGGCAAAAGAGCTCCCAACAAGCATTGCCAATCTGAACTCCAGCTTGACCCACGTGGACAGATATGCATTCCCGCTGTGGGGAGAGGACAATATCAGGGTCAGAGAGCCCTGGCCACAGATTGAGGCTCCACATCTGCAGACCTGTCTCTTCCTGTATTCAATCTTCAGGACACCCATCCCTCCATCCATGCTACCCTGGTAATCAGGTGGTATCTGAGGTTGCAAGTGCGTGGGCACAACTGCAAATGGACCAAAACTTGGGCTCCAAAGAAGACATGTTTTTTTCTATGGTTTTCTCTAAAGTTTGCTTTCCATAGTTAATTCTTTGTACCAGGAAGAAAAAAAAAAGCTACTGCAGAGGTGAAACAAGGAGCTAATTCTAAACCATCAGACTCTGATACCAAAGAAACCCATGAGAATAGCAGAAAATATTCCTAAGTTTACTACCACACCCAGCGGCAGATTTCACATTCATTAATACTAATCCCCAACTTGACATCTCACACACACAGACACATACACACTCAGACTAACAGAGCAGATGAATACTCATGGAAGGAATATGGTTTGGAGCAGTATTATTAGTATTATTAGTGTCATTAGTGTTATGGTGACAAATGTAGAAATGAGAAGAGATCAGTACACCATCAAGGGAAGGTTGAGGGGCATAAATTAGGCTCTTACCAAATTCTGACAAAGTGGAAAATTCTTTTTGGAGCCTCCATTATCAAGGGAAGGTTGAGGGGCATAAATTAGGCTCTTACCAAATTCTGACAAAGTGGAAAATTCTTTTTGGAGCCCCCATTATCTACCACCTGGCCTATGTCAGGCCAAGTGTTAAATAAAGCTAACCTTTAGAGTATTCTTATCTTTGTGCTACTCTAATATGAAGCCACAATTACCTGACTGATCTTAGTACTTAATGCCTTAAGATGGGGAGGTGTGTGCTTAACTAGAAACATACCATGAAGTTTCACTAGGAAGATGAACTCGTTTCCCCTACCCATATCCTGCCTGTGGGGAAGAGTGGCCAACATAACAGCTCTGTGTATGTGACACTCGCCAGAACCCAACCTGGAAGCATGTGCTTGGTCTGTGGGTTTCTATTCTTATCCATGACCTGACTTGTCATTTTCCAGCTCTAAGTAATTCAAGCCAGGAACAGAGCCTCCAGAGAACACGGCTGGGCATGAAAACAAGTAGAGTCCACATCCAGGACTCCTGGGAAGTTGGAAGAGTCTCCAAGCATAGCAACATTCAAAGGGTCAACGGTGTCAGGACCCATTTCTCCCTTATTCAGTTTTACAGCTGAGTCCCTACTCTACACCTATCTGTGCTAGAGCTGACTGATAGTTGCCACTTGCCCTGGGGAAGAAAAGAGCATGGGCATTCACAGCAGCCAGTATGGAACACAACCCTGTACAGAATACCCAACCCAGCTGTATTCCCCAGTGTCCAGGGAAAAGGCTTCATTCACAAGGTTGCCCACATTCCAAGGTTGAAATCTTGCCTTCTCAATTTACTTGCTGGTCTGTGCAATCTTAACTGAGTTACTCACTCTCTCCTCATCTGAAAATAAATTAGCCATAATTGCTATTATTGTTCTTGTCTTTACCATTATCATTTTCAGCTATACTCTCTTATAGCTCTTTTCTCCACCTATAGGAAGCAAGAAGCACCTATAGGAAGTCGGAGAGCTCGGGTTTCCATTCTTCACTCCTTTATTTTGGGGTCTGTTCTCAACCTCCATCTTAAGACTCTATTCAGGACTAAGAAAAGCACATTTTGTGTCCATCAACCAGCCCAAAACCAGCGTGTTATTGACCCAGACCATATCTCACATTCAGCAAGCAGCCATGGCTTCCTAGAGAGATATTCAAAACTTAGGGGACATTAGAGAGGCTTGAAAGGAACCTCATCCTATATCTTCTCCTAAGTGACAATATCCTTCATGGCCCTGACCCTTAGCTTTCTGAGCCTTGTTCACTACCATACCCCAACCACCCTCTAAACCCATCTCAGGGACTGCCTGGTCCCTAGGTTGACCTCTCTTCTGGAATACTCTGGGTCTTTCCACAGAAGATACAGGAAAAGCAAAGATCACAGGACAAAGAGTAAAGAATCTGGTGGACCTGAAACCACTAACATGTGACATTTACATCAAACTCTGTTTGATGCCCTCTTTAATCTCATACAATTAATATGCATTTTCACAGATAAAATCCCCCCCCAGCTCTGTCACACACAAACACACCCTTAAGAAAAGAACTATTTTATTTAGTAAGATCCTGTCTCAAAATAAAAATTTAAAAAGGGGATAGGGATGTAGCTCAGTGGTAGAGCATTTCAGTGTGAAACCCTGGATTCAATTCTCACTACCACAAAAAGAGAAAGGGGGAAAGAGGAAGGTCTCTTAATATTATTCCTTACTAACAGAACCAGTGAACCTTAAAGCAACAGAGAGTTCTGGGTCTGAACTGAGGAATGTATCAGATAAGTCTGAAGTATTTTATAGAGCCTGAAAGCGCAGAAGCTAACAAAGACTGGGATGTCAAGCCAACTTGAAGAGTCCCACTGCCAAAGACAAGCACCAGAAAGAATAATGAAGGGGTGGGTATGTAACTCAATGGTAGAGTACTTGACTAACATACGCAAGGCAAGGCCCTAAATTCCATCTCCAATAGTGTGGGGTCATGGGGGAAGGAGAAGGACAGGCATGGTGGAACACACCTGTATTCCCAACAAATTGAGAGACTGAAGCAGAAGAATTGCAAAGTTTGAGGACAGCTTTAGCAACTTGGCAAAGCCCTATCTAAAAATAGATTTTAAAAAAAAATGAGGTTGCAGGTATAACTCCGTGGTAGAGCACCCTTGGGTAAAATCCCTGGTACCACCAAAAAAATATATTTCTTTTGAATATTTTATACACTCTATTTCAATCAAGTAATTCCATTATTTTTTTTTTATTGAGACAGGATATATTAAAAAAGATCCAAAATATCTTCTCCTCCACCGGCTCCCATCCTGGTGCTGAGGATTGAACCAAGGGCCTGGCACATACAAGGCAAGCACACCACTGAGCTACATCCCTAATCCTATTTTAAAATACTTTTAACACAGAAGATAAGTAAATATGGAAAAAAAATTCTTAATATTATGTCTAAATGATAAATATATAGGTGGCATTATACTCATCTACTTTCTGGATGTTTGATGTTTTTTAAAGTAAAAAAACTAAATAAAACAAGAGTAGGAATAAGGACTCCATTCAACTTTTGCGGGTCCAGGTTCTTCTTGCCCCACTTCACACAGTCATTTATTGAACTAACATTTATTAAGACCTTAATTTATGAGGTCAAACAGTGATTTCAAAGTTACATGAAGAAATCACAAGTGAAATTACAAGTTGTCTGAGGCTTTGTGGAACTCTGAGGTCTGTGCTCATGCTCAACCTTCCTCTGGGCCTTTGCACCTGCTTCTGGTCAGGTGCTATAGTTTGGATCTGGAATGTTCCCTAAAGGCCCATCCTTTTCTAAAGGACTGGCACTATTCGGAGGTATTGGAGACATTCAGAGGTAGGACCTCATGGGAGGACTTTGGGTCACTGGGAATTTGCCCTCAGAAAGAATTGTGGAACCCCAGTCTTTTGCTCTTCCTCTCTTCCCCTGTTTAGCCATGAGGGTTGTGATTTTGTTCCCACCATGACATGCTGCCTCGTCATAGGCCCAAAAGCAACAGAGTCAACCAATCATGGACTGAAACCTACAAAACTATGAGTCAAAGTAAACCTTTTCACTTTATAAGAAAATTACCTCAGGTATTTATTATAGTGACAGAAAACTTACTAACACCTAGGGGAACAAGGAACATTTCAAAGCTCCGCCACAGAACTCCTCTAACTCAGGTGCTGACCTAGCCTCCTCCAACTACTCTGATCATCTATGAATCTTTCTGCCTGGAAGTTCTGCATAAACACAGAACAGACCCAGTGCAGATGTCCTTGGGAGACCAATCCTCATTGCCCAAGAAAAGGCATCCTCCTTTCATAACCAAGGATGTGATGCTAGCTTCAAAATATTTAGGATTCTAGTGCTGGATTGGCTTTATGTTCACCTAATATGATTCCCCCTCCATTATTTTGCAGACAAAAAAAAAATCTGGGGTTCATAAAGGTATGTAACAAATTCACGAGTTCACAGCTCTGCAGCAAAAAATCCTGGACCAGAATCTATGACTTCAGACCCCATCCTGAATTCTTTCCTTTGTACTGCACAACCTCCTGCCTCACTTTCACTCTGAATTTCCAGGGCCTTGAGATGTGCACACATTCACATCAGTGCCAGCCTGATGGTGGACACCAAGATCAAGCTTGTAGAGCAAAACTACAAACAGGAAAAATTCTAATGCAGAGAGAAACTGAGAATGGATCAGGGTGGTAACCTAGTTGAAATGGATCATTTTGACAGAACCAAGGAGACTGATTCTCCAAACCAGTGTGCACAGCCATTGGCAGGGGGAGGAGTTACTAGGGCAAGGGTAAGCTGACCCAGCAGAAGATATTTAAGTCATATGTTTGCTTCAAACTCATATTTCAGGTTTCCTTCTTTAGCTAATTGGAGTGTTTTCTCTTCTCTTCTCTTCTCTTCTCTTCTCTTCTCTTCTCTTCTCTTTTCTTCTTCTTCTTCTTCTTCTTCTTCTTCTTCTTCTTCTTCATCTTCTTCTTTTCTCTCTCTCTCTCTCTCTCTAGTTTTATTTTGAATCTGGGCTTACAGAGCCTCAGACAAGCTCTGCTCTCCTGGGTCCCAGTGAGGAGTCCCCTCTGTGCTGCTGAAGCTAACAATCCAGAAGGTGAAGAAGATAAGGAAGTGGATAGACCTGGGAGTCCCTTTCCTCAAGGAAAGTATGACATCCTCTCACACAGACTTAGCCCTGAGAAACCTACCAAAGTCACCTACTTTGTTCATTCCTACGACAAATGTTTTTTGTGCTATTACATGCAAGAAGGCATTGGAAGGTAGTAGGCAAGTCCCTGATGTGAATTGCTACAATCCCCTTTATCTCCCCATCATTGCA